ATGAAATTCTCAAATTGAGGGATCGGGATGCATTGTTGATGTGGGCTGGATGATTAAATAGGTGGATCTAAAGGATTTTTTACTTGATGAATGGCTTGATTGGCCATAGGGAAGCTCTCTATTTGACCTAATCAGCAAACCTTTTTCTTTGTGATGATTCAATTCATTCATTGCCATCCATCAGTTGTCTAGAGGATCTTCATACAGTCAATCAGTTGGTGTTTAGAGGATCTTAAATTTGAGTTGCATACAGTCAATCAGTTGGGCTGCCAAACACAACCTTAGCAACTTATTATTAGGTTTGCAAACGGATCGAATTGAACTGCATATGTGTAGTAGATTCGAATTTGGTTTATTAACGTGTGAATTCAGATTGCAATCAAATATTGAATAGTATTGATAAATAAAACTAAAAATGATCAAAATATTACGTATCATTAATAATGCTATGAAAGAGTAAGGAAGATATATGGGACAATAGTATTTCTTGATGATCTCCATTCAACAGATTATAACTTATTTATAATAGAGCTAAAGATACAACTACAGAACAGGTCGGCAACCTAAATTGGAAGCCAACAAGGAAAGAAATATATGTACATCTAGTTGGAGTGGAACTATATCTCCTAGAATTAAGGAGATAAAGATACAATCCTAAATCTGATGGAATACACTAACATCCCCCCTCAAACTCAAGATGGTAATGTATCAGTCATTTGGAGTTTGCCAACTAGAGTACGAAAGCGAAGAGGAGAGTGAGCTTTGGTAAATATATCCGCAGACTGATCCTAGGAAGGGACAGGAATAAGGCGAATAGTACCCTCGAGCACATGATGACGAATAAAATGGCAATCAGTCTCAATATGCTTAGTGCGCTCATGAAATACATCATTGTGGGCAATCTGTATGGCGCTACGATTGTCACAGTAAAGAGATGTTGCAGATGACTGAGTTATTCCCATGTCATGGAGTAACCATCGTAACCATAACAACTCGGAGGTAGTGTAAGCAAAAGCTTGATATTCAGCCTCAGTACTAGAACGAGAGACAACCGTTTGCTTCTTACTACGCCAAGATATAAGAGAATCGCCAAGAAAGAAGCAATAACCAGTAGTGGAGCGTCTGTCAGTAGGATCACCGGCCCAATCAGCATTAGAATATGCGATCAAAGGAAGAGAGGAAGAACTGGAGTAGTGAAGTCCATGAAACAAGGTGCCCTTGACATAATAGATGATGCGAAGCACGACAGCATAATGAGTAGTGCGAGGGGCAGACATGAACTGACTCACAATATGGACAACATACGCAATATCAGGACGAGTAAGCATAAGGTATACCAGACTACCAACTAGTTGCCGATATAAGGTGCAGTCACTGAGAGGAGTACCATCAGTGGCCAAAAAAATGGGCATTAGGCTCAATCGGAGTGTTAATAGACTTAGTATCAGTGAGGCCGGCATGAGAAACAAGATCAGTGGCATACTTGGCCTGAGACAGATAATATCCTGATTGGTCGGAGGAGACCTCAATGCCTAAGAAATAATTTAGTCGACCAAGATCTTTCATTTCAAACTGTTTGTTGAGAAAAGTCTTAAGAGCAGAAATGTCCTGCAAATCATCGCCAGTAATGATCATATCATCCACATAAAGGAGAAGATGTACACAACCCTGAGAGGTCTTATGAATGAACAAGGCATGATCATGGGTGCTAGACTGAAAACCAAACTGACAAACAGTAGAGCTGAATTTGGAGAACCATGCTCGAGGCGCTTGCTTAAGTCCATATAGAGCCTTACGGAGACGACAAACCTAATTAGGGAGATGATTATAACCAGGAGGGGGCTGCATATAAATCTCTTCAGAAAGATCTCCATTGAGAAAAGCATTCTTAACATCCATCTGAAATAGCTGTCAGTGCTTAGCTGCGGCAATCGCAATAAGACTGCGAACAGAAGTGAGACGGGCTACTGGGACAAAAGTCTCCTCATAATCAATGCCATACTCCTGTGTGAACCCTTTTGCTACCAATCTAGCTTTATACCTTTCAATTGAACCATCTGCTTGAGTCTTGATTTTGTAGACCCATTTACAACTAATCACGGGTTTATCTGAAGGTAGGTCAACTAAATCCCAAATATGAGTGCTTGTAAAAGCTTGGATTTCTTCTGCCATTGCTTTTTGCCATAGAGGGTCAGTGCTAGCCTCACGATAAGTACAAGGCTCATATAAAGAAACAATGGTAGAGTAACAGTGAAAATCACGAAGAAGAATGGAAGGTTTAGTGACCCTACCAGAACGACGGAGTGGAGCATTAGAACAATCAGGGTCTAATTCAGTAGGAGGAATCAAGAGTTCAGAAGAAGACAGAGCTGGAGAATCCATAGCCAAGGTAGATGCATCAGGAGAGGTTGCATGTTGTGCAGTACTGTTAGAGCTATCAGAGGAAGAAGTAGTTAGACCTGTAGGTAAATCTTCAGGAAAAAACGAAATAGTAGGATCAGTAAAAAAATATGAAGATGTCAAGGTAACTTGAAATGGTGAGAGACTTGAGAACATTTTGTGTTCCCAAAAGGTAACATGACGAGATATGCGAAGTCGTTGGGAAAGAGGATCCCAACACCGATATCCTTTATGTTCAATACCATACCCGAGAAAACAACATAAACGTGCTTTTGGTTCCAATTTGGTATGTTCATGAGGTTGTAATAGAACAAAACAAGCACAACCAAATACACAAAGAGACTGGTAACCAGGGCAATGGCTATACAACCGTTCATAAGGAGAAATGTTACCAATAACAGGAGAATGAATGCGATTGATGGTATAAATAGCAGTAAGGGCTGCCTCCCCCCAAAAACACTCAGGACAAGAGGAAGAGATTAAAAGAGCACGAGCAACATCAAGAATATGCCTATGTTTTCGTTCTACACGCCCATTTTGTTGAGAGGTGCCAGGACAAGATCTATGAATGATGGTTCCATTTTGTGAAAGAAATTGGGTAAGGATAGAATCTCGATATTCCATGGCATTATCAGTGCGAAAGATTTTGATGATAGAGGAAAATTGAGTTTTGATCATGGTGGCAAATTGAATATAAATTGTAGGTAATTCAGATTTATTACGCATGAGATAAATTCATGTATACCGAGAGAAATCGTCAACGAAAGTTACAAAATAACGCGAACCACCCATTGTATTATGAGGCAAAGGTCCCCAAATATCAGAATGAATAAGATCAAAAGGTGCAGAGGAAACATAATCACTTATATTAAAAGGCAAAGCATGATGTTTTGAAAGATGTCAGGAAACACAATCAAGGGGTTTTGTTTTAACAAGACCCAAACATCCATTAGAAATTAAAGATCCTAACCTAGAGGTGTAAATGTGTCCAAGACGAGAATGTCTGACGCTAGAAGTGATAGCAGCAGCAAGAGATGGTAATTGAAGAGATGATAGCTCAAACAGTCTCCCAACCTTACGGCCTGTCCCAATGATCTTCCCTGTCCGTGGATCCTGCACAGTACAACTGCGACTTGAGAAATGTATGTCAAAACCAAGTTCACATAATTGTCCAATAGATATGAGATTGAGAGATGATCGAGGTACCAAAAAAGTATTAGGTAGTGACAAATGAGATGTTGAAATAGTTCCTATACTTTTGACAGTTAAGGTTGAACTATCGGCAGTATGAACAATTGGTGCAATAGAAGGTTGGGATTTGGAAGTGAACAATGATGAATTGGATGTCATATGATTGCAACAGGCAGAATCAAAATACCATGATGAGGTAGTACCTGGAGTGACAGACAAGACAGAATTAGAAGGCATACTAGAAGTAGGTTGGAGCTAGTGAAGAAGGGCTTGGAGATCTCAAAGAGAAAATTTTGGAGAGGTGTTATCAGAAGAATCCTCTGTGGCAGCAGCGACAGTAGAACTTGAAGCCTGAGAACCCATGGATGAAGACTTTTGTCCAGATGCCTTTTTGGCTTGCAGGCAGCGGCACTCAGAAATAGTGTGACCAGTCTTCTTGCAGTAATTGCAAAAACTCCATTTTGAGGATTTAGAGGAAGTTGAAGAAGTACTAGATGTACTTAGAGTAGCAAGAACAACATCAGTAGATAGTAAGGATCGCTCATCTCGAAGTGTTTTCAGTCGAGTTTCTTTAGAGAGCAAATCTTTGATCACAACTTCAAGGGCGGGCAATGGGCTACAATGAAGTAGAGTACCACTAATATGTTCATACTCATCCCTGAGAGTCATCAGAAGATGCCAAACACGTTGGTGATCGCAAAGCTTGGAATAAGTAGTGGCGTCAGAGGTACTATCCCATTCAGGTTCACACTGTGCCAATTGATCCCAAAGAACTTGTAATTCAGAGACATAGCTGTGAATGGTCTGTTCAGGTTGCTGCTTCATACGGTGAAGACGCCTATAGAGTTGAAACTAATGCACATCATCAGAAATAGAATAACGAGCTTGTAAGAAATCCCATACCTCTTTAGGAGAGTCATATCTACGAAATTCCAACTTGATGCTTGCAATACAAGTCTTGCGAAACTAGGTCAGTATTTGATGATTTTTTCCCGTCCCATTTTTCTATTCGTTCAACAAATTTATCCTTTGTTTCATCAGCAATTTTAGCGGGTTTGGATATCTCACCAGTCACATACCGCCATAGAAGGTGTCCCTTGAGAAAACTGTGCATCTCTTGGGACCATAAATTATAATTTGAGCCATCAAAGATAACAGTGATGGGATGAGAAATATGTTGAACAGCTTCAGATGAATCCATGAGGAGAAACGCTGAATTTTGAGTTACGGGAAATTCTCAATACTGACCTTAAACACAAGTTTTGGTTCTGCTAACATGGGCTACATGCTTCATTCAAGTAGCGGGGAGCGCTTCTCTCCCAGGAGGGCCAGACGCAGAAGAAGCGGAGAGGGTGCTATTTCTACGAGCCTTCAATCGGGGACTGCTACACTACTCTCTTCACCGTCGTATGGAGGTCAACCGCCCTTATCTTGCCGGTCATGTCAACTTCCTCATATCTATAGAACCCGAGACTCTCCTCGACTACACACACGCCTTCCACCTCAAGCGCTTCAACGTCGGCGAAGAATTTCTTGTGAAGAAATGCAGATTTGCAGAGGTTAAAGCACCCAGTCTACGAATTGAGCTTTTCAAAACATATGGGAGGTCTCTTGTCGGCTTGAGATTTCTAGGCTATGACATCGACGCCGACGACTACCACGGTTTCGTGTACGGAAGGTTGCCTTATGAAGCGATCAAACCAGATCCGCAATTACGAGCTCTGTTACGAAGCACCGGCCAGAGAAAAATCATTCTTACGAATTCCGATAGGAAGCACACAATTAAAGTTGTGGAGAGAATAAGACTGTTTCAATGAGATAATCTGTCCTGTTTTCGACAGCTTGTGTGCCTTCTGTCGACGATTACGTCGACTTCCTCGTACTAGTGCCGCTGTTAAGTTGAACCACGGGGATGCAGAGTGAGAGCAGGGGAGAGCGTCACGCGGGTGGATAACATCACGCGAAGAAGAGTGAGAGCAAGGGAGGGGATCAAGAGGCACAGTGAATAATGAAATGGAAGAGAAAGGCCGGAGGGGAGGGAATCACTGCTGATCATCGCATCTGTCGAGAGGTGGAAGACGATGAATAATGCTCGTCTGATTTATTTCATTGGAAATAGAGAATGAGAGAGATGAAAAGTGAATGGCCGGGAGCGGGAGATATTGCCACCGCTAGTTGTCTTCGTTCGAACGGGGAAGAAGAAAATTGCAGAACCGTTGAGCACAAAGACGCAAAAAAGATCACCGAACTCAGACCAAATAAAAAAAAAATTGCAGAAGAGAAACGAGAACCGCAGAGGAAGCAAGAAGACACGGATCACAGCTCTGATACCATGATACGAAAGAGTAAGGAAGATATATGGGAGAATAGTATTTCTTGATGATCTCCATTCAACAGATTACAACCTATTTATAATAGAGCTAAAGATACAACTAGAGAACATGTCGTCAACCTAAATTGGAAGCCAACAAGGAAAGAAACATATGTACAGCTAGTTGGAGTGGAACTATATCTCCTAGAATTAAGGAGATAAAAATACAATCCTAAATCTAATGGAATACGCTAACAAATAAAATGAATTAAAAGTAATATTGATATTGTATTTCAGGCTCAGTTTGGAAGGAGTACAAATACAAATACATAGAATGCAAAGCCTTACATTTTACATTATTATCAGTTTAGAATGAATATAAATACAAATATATACAATATAAATACATACAAAATAATACTAATTCTAACGTCTTATGTAATCAATTGCAGACGATTGGCAGTAATTTGTGAAGCCTAATGCTTTTTCTTCCATAAGCAGGCGTCAAAAGTAACGTAGTCATGTGGGATGAACGCTTTCTCTCTTTCTCTCTCTCTCAAAATGTATTGATATAAATGATTGGTTGGTAGAAGAAGAAGAAGCTAGCAGGAAAGAAAAAGGAGAGAGTAAGAAATGAGGAAAACAACAGCAGTTGCCGTGCTTCTGCTGCTGGTGCTGGCATGGACTGAGCTTGGGTTGGGACAACAAATCACATGGAAGGGAAGGTCAAACCCTGAAACTGGAACTTATTATTGTACTAAGACGACTCTGAATCTCTTGCCCATGCCTACCCACAACACACTACCCCTGTGAATTGAGAACATTTCCCCTGCATAATATTATGTATGAGGATAAAATATTTTCCATGTGACTGCAATGTTGTGTGAATAGACATGGGCAAAATTTATTTGGGCAGGAGATCCGGACTCTGCTAAGATGGTGCATATGACGAGTAGCTGTAAGATGGATATCATGTTATATTTGTTGGGAGCGAACCAGGGTTTGGACCCTTCATACTGTAAAGCGGCTTTGAAGATGAGCAACCACTGTTGGGAGTAAATCTTCTTCATGGAGAGAATTCCTCCCATCAAGGATTTTTGTGTACCTCACAAAAACTCTGTTAATTGAAGTTCATGCTGAACTAATAAACTTGTTTCTTCGAGTTGATAATTAGATTGTTGCTCTCCCTCTCTCTCTCAACATATTTTTTTAGGTGGTCTTTCATTCTATTGCTGTTTTCTAAGAAAACAACACCAGTCAGAGCCACATCAAATATTCAAAAAAAATGGCGTTTGGTTGAAAATTAAAAATAAAAGTATTGTCGTTTTCTCAAAAATAGTTCATTTGAGAAAATTTTTTATTAGGATATAATATCTGAAAATTTTTTGACCAATCAACTAATATCATAAATATGGTAGCCAATCAGATGTTATTTATCAAAGTTCATGGGTAGGTTTTGATTGGTCAAAAATCTTCCGATGCCATATCTTTCCCGCATCATAGATTTTCCTTTTAAAAAATCATCCCAACAAATTGTACAAAAGGAGAAAAAAAAAAAGAAGAAAATGTTTGAGGCCCACAATTTAATTAATTAAAGCACCAGAGCTGCATATTGAGAGTAAAGATTACTGTTGCGAATGTATTGGTTGAGACTTGAGATCATCCATGGACCCTGGATTTGATGTTATTCGTTCTCCAGATCAATTGGGCAGGGAATCCCAGCAGAGTGGACTTTTTTAATTCATTCTTCAAGACATAAAGATAAGAATTACAGAGTGGTCTTTTTAATTAAGGTGATTTTTGGTAAGAGGAATTCATTCACCCAATCTATATTCTTATTTTTCCATTCAAGTCATTTCATGGTTTTAAAAATTGACCTGGAAGTGGAATCGTTATGGCCATCGGTTTTTGAGTCAACGATTTGACTGTTCGGTTTGAATAAATAGCCCGTTTTGACAATAAAAATTTAAAAAATAATTAAAAATAAAATACGACCAAAAACCGTTGAATGGGTCAATGGTTTGACCGCCTGAATCAATGGATCGTTGACCGATTCAATGATTTTTTACCAAGGACTGAATTTGAGGTAAAACGGAACTGATTGTTTGAACGATTCCCAGGCCAAACGGTCCAACTGTCAAGGTCAATGGCGATTCAAAAACCATAAACTATTCATCCATTTGTTAAACTTTGAGAAATATCATTTAGTACCATTTTCTTAGAAAATAGTAGAGGCCTATAGCTTTCCGGTTATTCTCCCTAATGTCTGTCTTACTGTCTGATATTTTCTTGAAATGTCCATATCAAACAGTATCCAAACTAATAAAAGTGCAAAAATCTTAAAAAAGAATACAAAAAATTGCATTCCTAAATAATTTAAAATTGGTAAAAATTATTGAAGAAGGTAATTTTGGGAATGATACCATCTTGCCAAACACCCACTTAAAACCAACCATAGTTATGATCCAAACCACCACCAACAAACCTCATAAGCCAATATTGGCCCAGCGGCCCAGCTACCCTCCTTATTGCTATAAGGGACTAGATCATAGCCTTTGTACCTGTAGCCTCCACAACCCAAGTTTTTGCAATGTCTTGTGGCCTCGCTCAATGTTTTAAAAAACGACTTGAATCGAAACTGTTCTGGCCACTGATCGAAATGGACAGCATCTTCTGATAAAAAAAAATTAAAAAATTAATTAAAATAAAAAATAGAAAAAAATTATTGAATGAGTCAACAGTTCGATAGTTGCCTGAACAGTTCCTGAGCCGAATAGTCCGACTTTCCTGATCAATGACGGTTCAAAAACCATGGTGTTAATAGGATTTTGTTTCGAAAGAGAGATTCTTCATCATCAGAAACCCTAATGTCCGAGATCATCAGAAACCTCCTCAGCTAGCCTTTATTCCATACGGATAGAACCCTTATCCCAAAATTGGGTTTTTTTCCAAAAGCCCCCAATATCTTATCAAAATAATAGTTTGCAAAACCCAAAAACAAATTTTAGATTACAGATATTTCATTCTTAATAAATGACCAGTATGGGACCATGGGCGTGCACAAAGCTACAGTCTATAGACCCAGCTTAAGCATCCTAATCCTGGTTTTCAAAATCGGACCGGACCGGATGACCAGACCAGAAAAATGGAATCGGTCCCCAAAATTGGATTTTTTCCAAAAAACATTGATTTAGTTAACAAACCACTGATTTGGACGGTTGAACCATTCAAACCGTTTAACAGTTTTGACCATTTTTTTATTTTTTGTCAGAATGGGCCGATTATGCGGTTCAAACGGTTGAACCATTTGACCTAGGAACTAGACCCCTGACCAGTTCGTTGTTTGGGTCGGTTTTAAAAACCTTGGTCCTAAATCATAAAGCAACTCTAGCTAGTCATAAAGAACTAATTCAAGACAAGTGATGAGCATAGAGATTTTGTCTTGTGCTTAGAGGTGTCAATTGGACTGGATTTGGTCCAACCCGGTCCAATCCAATGTGAGTTCACTTACAAATGGATTGGACCTAATTCAATCCAAATACAATCCAATTCATTAAAATGTAAATGGACTCGATTGGATCCCATCCAAACCAAATGAAATATAAAAAACAGAATATATAAAAATATATTAAAATGAAGAAAATCTGAAAATTACAAAAATATACCCTTTTGGCATTAAAAAAGCACTTTTATAAAAGTACTTTCAAAAAAGTAATTTCGTAAAACTACTTTTATAAAAGTACTTCGTAAAAGTGATTTTGTAAAAGTGATTTCATAAAAGTACATCCATAGAAGTGCTTTCGTAAAAGTACTTTTATAAATGTACTTTCATAGAAGTGCTTTTATAAAAGTACTTTTGTAAAAGTGCTTTAGTAAAAGTGCTTTTATAAAAGTACTTCCATAAAAGTGCTTTCATAAAAGTGCTTTTATAAAGTACTTCCATAAAAGTTCATTTGTAAAAGTGATTTCATAAAAATACTTTCGTTAAAAGTACTTTTATAAAAGTGCTTTTGTAAGTGTTTTTATAAAACTGCTTCTATAAAAATGCTTTCATAAAAGTACATTTGTAAAAGTACTTTTTATAAAAGTGCTTTTGTAAAGATGCTTTTGTAAGTGTTTTATAAAAGTACTTTCATGAATGTGATTTTATGTTGACTTCAGTTTTGATTAGTTTCAAATTGGACAGGAGTTTGGCCTCATGATCGGATTATTAGAAATTTGGGTTAGGTCTAATTTAGACCAATAAGAATATGGACCAAACTATTTTGGATTGGCCCAATCCAATAATTATAATGGATTGTATAACTCCAACTTGATAAGGTTTGGATTGGATTGGATCCAATCCAAAACCGGTCGATTGACACCCCTACTCGTGCTCTCTCTCTCTCTCTTTCCAACTAACACGACCTCTGGCCGTTTCTCATAGCTTAGACCAATCCTTGTCACCATGGTTTTTAAAACCCACCTGGAGACCGAACCGGTCAGGTGTTCGGTTATTAGGTCAAATGGTTCGACCTGAACGTTGGTCCATTCTGACAAAAAGAATAAAAAAAAAAATGAAAATCAATCAAAACCGTTCGAACGTTAACCACCCAAATCAACGGTTTACTTACCAAAATCAACGGTTTTTATGAAAAATCCGGTTTTAAGGAAAACCGTGAACTATTTTGAAAACCATGCTTGTCACCTTTTGATCAATGAACTATTTTGACTTTTGAGTTGGATCCTTTCTGGATGAAAATTAAGTTAGAACGGGTTGAACGGTCCAATGGAACATTGAATCAGACCAGTCCAGACTAATGGTTTTAAGACTGTGTTTGGCGTTCCTTATTTTAAGGACTTATCTTCTTTTTGTGATTAAAAATTTAGTGTTAAAAGGGACATTTTAACGAGAAAGGAGGAAAGACCTTAAAATAAGAAAAAGTATTTATTAGATTGGATTTGACCTAACCTATCTGTAATGGATATTAGATTGAACCAATATCTGGTCCAATCTAAACTAAAATCAATTTGAACCAATGAAACATTGAATTGAACCGGTTCAGACGAAAAATTTATCAGATTGAACTGGGCCTGGTCCATCTGTAATGGAATCATATTGAACCCAGTTGAGTTGGACTATCTAGTCCATTGACAACCCTACTGTCACCTACAATCAAAACCAATTTATTATCAAACCATTTTGATTTGTTAGCTAATGAAGTAGCTAAACTGAAAAGCCTTACTGCTAAGTTGTCTCTTGAATAAATTACAATACTCAGCAGCTTTGACCAATCAGAACCCAACCTAAATTAATTTTGATAAATACTACCACTTCTAATGCTAGTTGATTGATTACAAGTTTTTTTACATTTGTCTCAACCATATCACATGCACCAGGATTTGAATAAAAAGAAATAACTTCACTGTTCATATAAGTTTATCCCAAATATGCACTCGGTTCTATTTTGATATTTTCTCAAACATTCAGACCTATTCCAACATAACCACAATGAATATTTAATAAAATCAACAAAAGGAGTCTAGTGCAGAGCTTTTACTTGTTTTATATAAATAAAGATCGAACTCTTTTTTTGGAACAATAAAATATTAAATTTACTAATAAACTGTTCCAAACATACTGGGATTTGAGTCCATCAAAACAAAAATCACCTGCAGAGGAAGTTATTTTTGTTTTAGCCAGCCAAATGGCCACGTATTAAGCTAAAGCTTCTAGACTGTTTGGTAAGAGCCGTTTGATAGGGTTAAGAAATCAGTTTATTTGGAAAATCAAATTAAAACTGAAATAAATGAAAAACGATTTTCGATTATTTCAATTAAAACCAAATTTCTTTAATATATTAATGTATATTAACATTTTATATATATTATAAATCTTCTATATAATATATAAAATATATTATATACATATATACTACAAATAATAAAATTTATGCGGTTTGATTTTTTGTTTTAATCGAACAATGGTCAACCCTAAGTCATTCGACTGTTTGGCAAATGACTCGGTATAGCCGAGCTCGGACTTCCTGTGGCAGTATGTATTCCGGACTGATGCATCGAGGAGTTGCATGCACCACCTACGCATTGTACAGACAATGTTAACTCTTTTCTTGGGATTTGATTCTCCCGTCAACGTTTTGTCAATTTGTACAGGAAGGAACCCAACAGATCAGCAATTCATCTTAGTTCCAAACAAGAATCCCACAAAATTTCACACCTAAACAGACCTACAAAAGCCAAGGAAACATTTGTCCAGAAGATGGAGATGCTCCATAACTTCACAAATTACAACCAAGTAAACATTTTTACAGTAAAAGAAAATATAAAAGTAGAGCAGAATACCTCACAGAGGTAATTAAGATATTATGGGTTTTCTCATATTTTATTTATTTATTCAATTATTTTGCTAAACTTTTTCTTATTTCCCAAAGATGGATTTGAACCACCAAAAGCCTTCGTCCTCGGGACCTCCTCCTTCCGGCGGTGGGTCGGTGTGGACTGTTTTGTGGATATGCTTCACATCGTAACCTTCATCGGTGGCTCTCTGAAGGAGCTGATTGTAGGTGTCCTCATCAAGATAGTTTTGCCTGCACAAGATCTGAAAGTACGCAAAAAGTAATGAGAATTAAATAGATCAGAGGAATTAATGTAGAAAGAAAATGATCATACAGTAATGGCAATACACAGAGATGAAAGAGTAGTCTATGATCCTAAACCTACAGAATACATGAAACAGGCCCAAAACCAAAGTGAGAATAAGTTCTTAGTTGTGAAAATTGAAACAAAGTAAACCTACAGAATTCTATCAAACAAAGTTCTAAGAGAACCCATGAGCATACCCAAAGACACTTCCTGCTGGGCTGTCCGATCAACGCATACTGATAATCGTCGTCAATGCAGAGAACCCAGTAATCCCCAACAGAAGGAATTATAGGCAAGAAGGGGGGAACATAGAATTTGACTTTGAGCTTGGCTTCGTCACTCGCAGGATCTACCTTATAAGCCGTCCCCTCTATGGATGCTCTCTTTCCACTGCTCCAGCTCTCATTGAGGACATGAATAGTTCCATCACTGTTCAGAGTATAAGTAGCTCTCGTGTTGATTCCCTCTTTGGGTTGAAACCTTGAAGGCAATGAAGCAATCTCGTACCACCGACCCATGTACCTCTGCAAATCCAAGCCCTTGACTACATCCATCTCTTAGAGGAAAAGATGAGTGATGAACGGCGAACCGAACAGCGTCTGATCCTTTGTGGGTGGATTTGCCATCTGGGTTTTATCGCTTCGAAAGGGGAGGTGAAGATAAGGTGCAGAGGTGGCTGTCGACGAATGTCTGGTGCATTTAATTCTGCAGTGAGACGTGTTGAGTTCAAGGACAAGGCCCTCGCCCTACATGCAGGCGGGAGGTGTGCGCGTATGAATGTTGCCAGGCAAACCTCGTATATTCGAGACCGGATCTGCGCCTCACAATTATATCATGCATGCATTGGGAGCATCTCCCGTATTTGTAAGTTATTTTTTACGGGAGATGTTCCCGTGGATGTGCATGTGAGGCGCCCAAGTGTGAAGAGTAAATTCCGTTCCCGTATATTCTAGAATATAGATTAAATGCTATAAAACAAATCTTTAGTCTGTAGCTTGTACATATCCATTAATGGATGGATGGATACAAAGCACATGAGCTAAAAAGCACAAGAATTGTTTGTATCGCATCATCCTTTATCATGAAATGAATTATTGAATTTGGTGTACTTTTCTTTGCCCTTTGCTCTAATTTATTAATGTAGAGAATATATATATTTTTTAATCTGAAATCCGAATTCTAAAAGTTGTCGGTTGATCAATTTAACTGTAATTCTGAAAAATTTTGTTTGTCTTTTTAATTTAATAACGAACTATTTATTTAATTATTATAGAGTTAATCAATAATGACATTCATTAAAATAGTCACCAAAAATTAAAAAAAATTATATATAATACAGGAAATTATTAAATTAATTAGTTAAAAATTAATATAACTATAAATAATAAGTACTAATTAAAAATTATTCCTAATTAGCAATAATAATAAGTAATTAAATTAATTTATAATAAAATCAATAATTATAACAATATTATAATAAAAATATTACAATTAATAATTACTAAGTAATACAATTAATATTTTAATTAATATAATTAATTACTAATATTATACTTAATATTATAAATAATTAATTGATATTGTAATTATAATTAATATAATGTATTGATTAATATAGTTGAGTTAATATAATAATTAAACAAAATTGATGATTAATAATTAATAATTATATATTTAATTGCAGGTCACCGGTTAGATTGGTCAAATTGAACCCATGTCATGTCAATTAATATATGTATGTGTATAAATATATATTTTAATAATAAATAATGTATAAATATATTTTTGATATATTATATATATTATTTTATATTTAATATATATTTTAATTTTTTAATTTATAAATGACCGATCATCAATGACCACATCCCTCAAATCGAAGCCCTCTTCATTCTATTTCAAAGGTTGCCTAAATACTACACTGAAAACACCGCATTCGTCACTTAGTGGTTTTTTTAACAACAAACAGAGGAAACGAGAAAGATAGGAAGAAGAATATGTAAATTATGGCTCTAAAACACCATGCCTCTCAACGTGTTTGCAATGGCGAAAAAAAAGGGAGAAACACGAGAATATGTAAATTATGGCTTCAAACATTTGGTTTGTAGGGATAGGGGTTCGGGCTATTTCGTTTTCAATTGCTTGGTTGAATGGAATTGGAATCTCATTCCCCCATTTGAGGAATGGTTATTTCCTATCTCTTCCTTAGAAATTAAATTCCTGTCTGAACCAAATAGACTATGGGACTAGACCATTCCGACTCTAATTCCAATTTCAACTGCAAATCAAATAGACTGTAAATTCTTCTTTTCTTTTCATGACAAAGATGAGAATAAAATTCATTTGATTACAAATTTCAATTTCATTTTTTTTTCTCATCAATCAAATAATAATATACAAGCAGTTGAGCTTGTACTCTAGACTCAAAGGTCTTAAAAGGATATATATTCTTTAAGATGGTCCATCCAAGGTCTTTATTAAAGGATATATTCTTGGTTGTCAAAGGAGAGCACTTGAGAATTTGAGACGAAAATCAGAATTGGAATCAGAATGGTCTATTCTTATAATATGTTTGGTTCAGACAAGAATTAGAATGAAAATTAGAATCAGTAAGATTGAGATTTCATTTCCAAAGAAAAAGCAAAGAATGACCATTGCCTCAAATAGAAGAAAGTCATTCCAGTAGAAATGAAAAATGGGATTCGGATTTTATCCAACCAAACACCTGGAATCAGAATAACCCATTCCGATTCCGATTCGAATTCCAGACCCCTATTCCTGGATCCAAACATGGCCTTAAAATATTTAAAAGCATGGAAAGCCTAATTACATCCCTCCTCGAAAACATGGCCCATTTATTCTATATCGAATGTTGGAAGGCTTAAACTTTAACCATCAGTGACATTTTATCCCAAGTCAAGTCGTCTAAAAAATAGAAATTGTGTAGATGGTTCCGGCTAGTCTATTTTCTCCTTCGAGAACGAGTTAGTCTATAAGATTCCGTATGTTTCAACTGAAACTCTCTGTACAGTTGTGTAAGACATTGTCGAAAGACTTGCATATCGAAGAAGGAGAGTTAGAAAAGTTAACAGGGGTCAAGGAAACTCGATTTCGATTTCTTGGGGTTAACAATGGAGTGGGCTTTGGGCATGCATTGTTATGCGCTGCTGTTTCAGTTTCATCAACATCAATCAATGGGATGTTTGGGATGTTTGGAGACGGAGAAGATGCCTCTTATGACTTTCAAGGCTTCTATTCCACAGCGTGGTGGGGATATTTCCCATCTCCCATCTTGGATTGAGGACGATCAGGATTGTTGTGGTTGAGAGAGAGTCCAATGTAATTATACTATATATTAGCAGGGACCTATGGGCTTTGTTAACTGAAAGTGAAATAGCAAAACATATAAGAATAGATTTTTTTTGTATATTTTTCATTGCGACATTTTAAAATGATTTTGGATTATATTGATCAAATTATAAAAATCAAAATAAATTCAGATCACCCCTATTTGATTTGAAAGAATATGATCTTATGTGTGTGTGCATGCTTTATTTATTTGTTTATAAGTATGTATACATTGCATTTTCTATTTTTGATAAAAAAGACATGTATATATATATATATGTGTATGTGGGGGGGGACTCACCATGAGTTTTCAACATTTCTCTTAAACTCACCACAGTTTTTCAAAATGTCTAAAACTCATAATGTCAGCAAGCTTTTTATTTTCCAAAACTCACCTTCCATTAGTGCACCGTTAATTCTCCTTAACAGAGGTGTCCATGTTAGCATAAATAACAATTTTTATGACCAAATTACCCTTGAATGGCCAGTTAGAGGAAAAATGGTCTTGTCCAATTTTCAATATTCTTGTTTTTTAGCATTTTTAGTGTTTTGTTATAATTTTCAATGTTTTTTATAATTTCTATTGTTTTTACATTTTCTATTTTCTACAATCTATAAATTTTCCTGTATTTTTTCTATTTATTTGTAATTTCTGTGTTTTTCTATAATTTTTGGTGTTTTTTCTACAATTTTTATTTTCTGATTTTATTTTTCAATTTCTATAGTTTTTGATGGTGCGCGATTTGGCTACTCCTAGCTGGAGGGCGATCCGAACTCCAAATGGGCGGTGAGCTGGATCAATCTACAAACAGTGGATCAAAAAAACCGGGATAGCTAACCCGACGAGGTCGCTCCGATGCTTAATTCGGTACTTATGATGTGAATGCGAGCTAAATGCTTGATAGCTTGAGTACTAGTGAGTAGAATAATCACACGTACCTTTGCCTTAAGGTTTCATGTCTTTATATACTAGAATAGTCGTGGGCCTTACGAAAGAGCTCTGGGATCTCCGGGATGTGGAAATAAGGTTTGTTTCGTTCTTGAAGGAGAACAGTATGTTGATAAGGATTATCGTTTACCTCCGATTCAGGCGGAGCCGGGATGAGTTCTCATCACGATCTTGGGAAATTCGTGATTTGTTGGCTCATCGTGATCTCGAGAGATTAGGGATCTGTTGGGGAGGCCTTTGGAGTCAGTTATGTGGCGTTTCGGCTCATTAGCTCCGAGCTGGAACTTCGATTCTTTAGTCCCAAATTGGATTGGGTGTCGAGGTGCCTCTACACCGAGGTGGATTTTCGGCCGAGGTGGTTGAATACCCGAACTCCGAATGTTGCGAATTGGGCTTGCCTGGATGAGTTGTCATCCTTCGATCAGATCGCGCCTACATGTCCCCTTCTTGCTAGGTCGTGCCAAATCACCCTTCATCAATTGCCCNGTGGTTTTTTGGGCCGAGGTGACTGAATACCCGAACTCCAAATGTTGCGAACTAGGCTTGCCTGGCTGAGTTGTCATCCTTCGATCAGATCGCGCCTACATGTCCCCTTCTTGCTAGGTCGTGCCAAATCACCCTTCATCAATTGCCCCCCACTCCTCGTGCCAGGGGTCCTAACCCAGTGCAGGGAGTTCATGAAGAGTCCAGGTGGATTTGGCGCAAGGTCTAGTCAATTTGGAGGGCGAACCGTTGGTCGGGTCTGTTCAACCATTTGGCTCAACCACGAAATGACCCAGGTCGTGTCTCGGGCACGTGCGAATGTCACACTATTTATAGATTCCACGGACGCCAAAGGGCGCGCTCAATTGATTTCGTCTTCGGGTAGCGTGCAACCAGTTTTCATGGGAGTCGTCGGATCGTACAGGTCTTAGTCGTTGATCATCAGATACGGTGGACTATAAATAGGGGGCCAAAGGGCCCATTACCTTCGCCATAAATATTGTAATTGAGCTCTCCTGAGATCACGTCGGAGTCCTTCAACTCGCCACTCTTCCCTTTGTGTCCGAGGGCGTTGTCGTCCTTTTGGTGAGTTCGTCTTCTTTCATTAGTTGTTCCCCTTTCCTTTTCTAGTGCTAGCATAGATAGGTTACTTAGCGATTCTAGTGAGCCCGAGGGTGCCGAGGTGCGGTCCTCGGCTCTTGTCGGTGAGGTCAGCTCTTCGCTAGAGAGCTCCTCTTTACACATCTTAGGGGAAACACCTTTACCCGACGTCGAGCCATCTCGGCCTAAGGAACCTGAACCTCGAGTAGAGCGTCCGACCTCCGGAGAGGGGGTCCCATCTTCTCGGGGTCGGGATCCGGATGACTTCGATCCTTCCACAATGACCTCGGATAGATTGTTGTCCTTGGTAGCCCGTTACCGTCTTCCCGACACCCTTACCTTCAATATTCCTTTGGGTCAGTACCCTTGGGTTCATGGTCACCACGAGCTCGCGGTTTTTGAGGAGCAGCTCGTAGCTTGGTTGTGCTTCCTGCTCCACCCTTTCATCATAGAAATCATTAAGTTCTTCAACATTACCATTGATCAGTTACACCCGAACTCCATCCGAACCATTG